TGTGTGTGTGTGTGTATATATATATATATATATATATATATATATCAGTTAATGAAAAGTGTAAATTTACTTCGTTTATCAGACAGTAAATAAGTATATATACATTACTTTTTAATGATAAATATATTTGCTCTAAATCGTAAAAAAACATGATAATCTTATGCTAGTTTTCTCAACTACCCCTTTGTTAAAGCCACACCTACCACATGAGTAATTTCAATATATATATATCGATCATTATATCTTTATTATAGGACACAAATCATTAATCACTAAAAAATAAGTGAAAAATCATGAAAATGTTTATAATGTTAATGATGGCTACAGTTTTATTTTGTAGTCTCCATCAAGTGGTCATGGCAAGAGAAGTCGTTGTGAACGTCAACAATAACATAAATGACTTAATTCCATGTTGGCCAATCGAATGGCCGTGGTGCTCGTCACCGCCCCCACCACCAACACCATCCCCTCCACCCTCACCAACAAGTTGCTTGGCTAGTGACCAAGAAAAGATAAAAACATGCATGTTTAACACAACTTCAATTGATGAATGTTGTCCCATATTTAAGAGTACACTTGGGACTAGTTGCCCTTGCTATAATTATGCTGAGGATTTGGATAATCAAGTCTTGATAACTCTTGATACTTATTGTGATATCGATAGCCCTTGTAAGAGCGTACAAGTAAGTTATCATTTTTACGTATCTATCGTTTAAAATTTATCGAAATCACGACTTGAGAGACTATTATACTTGACACCGTTTATAAGTTGAACGATTGTACTTATGACTTTGTCAGCTAAACCCTGAAACTCACCAAAATACAGTATTATAAAATGCTCTGATCATTGATTGGGCTTGTGACATTAAAATGTCTGAGTTGGAAGAGTGCTTGACTACACGCGTTTTGAAGCAAGTAAATATGATCTTGGAAAAGTGCATGATACACTCATTCATCATTTTTACCTACTTATCTTTAAAGATTTTGATAAACTCGTTCACGATTTATTATCTAAAATCATTTTTATAAGGTGTATTATTATTTGAGTTATAATCATATATTTAGTTTCTTAATTTTATTAAACCGAAAAATATTTTGAAATGATTTTTTAGCTAAATATTGTGACCTATTTACAAATTTAGGGATTTTAATCTTAAATCATAATCATTAACTTTATAGCAATCGAATGATTGTCATCGATTTTATTATTTATTCATATAAATATATGTATACCACTAGTTTATAAATACATTATTTAGATAGTCACTTTGATAATTTTTCTTATATATTTTTCTTTATGAAATTTTAATTAAAATTATTTTTTTGGAATTTGTGAAATAAATTCTTGTAATTATAAATTGCCCTAATACTAATGATATTTTTATTTTAATTCACAATTTCAGGTGATTAAGTTATCCAAGGAGTAAAATTAAGCTGCTTAATTTCAATCATGTAATAAATAATTTGATGCTAATTAGTAATTACTCTTTATAAGAGTACACTAATTAAGTGTAATGTTGGGTTTTAGTACTACTAATATATTTTGGCATATGTATCAAAATCATTAATCCATTATTCTATTATTTCATTTCAGTTTACTTGATATTATTTCTTTATTAGTTTATTTAAAAAAACGATTAATCAATATAAAAATTATAAACATATTATTCAAAAACTCCTTTTTAATTAATCAAACTATGCAATTGGCGGAAATGTTTTATATTATTTTTTTCTTAAATTTCGTATAAAATTTTGTATCACAAATTAATAGGAATAAATATAATATTCACTCATGTGATTGTTAGGTCTCACTCTCAAATGCAACATATACATTTTTCATTATTTTTTCACTTCTATTTCAAGAAACAATAAAGAAAAAGGAAGAAAAAAAATTGTCACTTCATTCATCTCACTATATTCGTTATATTTTAATTTGACGCAGAATTCAAGAAAATTTTAAATCTTGTGATGAAAGAAGCACGCTGAATTGACCTGCTTATTCAATTATGTCTCTAGCGAATAGTTGAGTACAAGTATCATGAACGCGAGGTGCAAGATATTAAGCTGAAAAATTCGAACATCCATTAGGGGGCCTCGGCCCGAAAAGGAGAGACTAGCTAAGCAAAATGTACTAAAATATCATTTAATCATATAATTTTAAATATACAATGTGAAAAAATTATACGCGAAGAATTATTCAAAACAAAAGATATTCTTTTTTAAATGAATTTAAAAATCAAGTTTATAAATTAAGAAGAATAAAAGATTATTTCACAATAATACTTGAGAAGGACAAGAAGACAATTTCTTTATTTCACACGATAATATAATGTATTTTTATTTTCTTGGCAAGTTCACTGAATACAAAATATTAAAGTAAGTTGATATAAAAAAAATCTATGGGAACTCGTAATTTTTTTAAAAAAATGTGATTCAAAACTCAAAAAGTAAAAAAATCCAACACTATCCCTTCCTCCACAACAAGTCAATGAAAAATTATGCTAAAATATGATTTATTTCATTCATTTTTTATCTAACCAGCTTATTGAAAAAATACATAATAAAAAATTCTAATCGAAATAGTAAAAAAAATTCTAATCTACCATATAAAAATATTGCAATTTTTTTAATTTTCTCACTAATTTAATTAAAATATATATCAAAATAACATCAAACATTTTTTAGTTAAAATTTTAATTTTTTCTTTAAAAAACATTTTTTTAATGATGTGACTCTGACTATGATATTATTGCTAGGTCCTCATCCTCCTCATATAGTTTATACTTTTTTTCCCTATTATTTTATTTCTTATTATAATATAAGATAAGATAAAAAGATGATTCATAGAAAAAAAATTAATTAGTTAAATTCAGAATTAGTAATCCAGACAATTCATGTGACTAAAGTTTCGAGCTCGAGTTTTGAAAAATCATTATAAGGAATGGTTCCTCTTTTGATGGTCATCTGTAGCGTGAATCTGAATCACTCCGAGTTTAAAACGGATATATTATTTATTCACATGATTTACAGAGCAGTCTGGTACATAATATATCTTGCACTGATGTAGGGTTACATTGCAAGGATGTATAATGTAGAAAGGCTACTTTAAGACAATCTTTAGTCTTTGATTCTACGATTTCAACCTGTGACCTATAAATTAAGCAGAAACAACTTTACCGTTCCTTCACAGCGCGGTAAATAATGGCATAAAGCTCTTTTCCTGTCCATGTATATTCAGCAAGGCTTTCTAGTGGACCAGCAAAATCCTCATCAATGAGACCCTACATTCTAAGAGCAAGGATCTTAGAATCAAATTGATAGAATTCAACAAATGTGAAGTAAAAAAGTCCATGTGGTTCAGACTTTTCGAAAATGTTGTCAACTATTAGATCCATGTCCGAATACTTCAAAAATGTACTACTTTTGAGGACTCAACACGCATGCATCCAATGCGACAATATTTGTAGAGCCGTGTTAAATTCTCTAAAAATACATTATACTTTTCGAAAATCTAACACGTCATCTGACATTTTTAAAGAGTCTAAGTAAGATAGGTTATAAACCATTTTAAGAGTCACATATTCTCTTACTTCTTAACAAAACAAATTTGAGAGTCCTAATAATTTCAAACATGAAAGTGACATTTGGTAAAAGCCAGCTAGGGAGGAAATACTAGACAAATAAGGAGGTGGCAGGTGTCCCATAAAACTAGTTGAGGTACGCGATAGTTGATCCAGACAGCATAGCCATCAAAAAAATATATATATATTGAGATTGTTCGAAGGACGAAAGTCATATTCTGGTGTTTGATTATCATAACACAATTTTCATCAAAATGGAGAAAATAATTTGGACAAGACTATTTATCATCCATTTCTAGTTAAATAACATTGTCATAGTGACTTCATAAGAGCTTAAGTTATGAAGTGCACCCACACCTAAATGGAGCATTTAAGAAATAACATCAATAGCTCAAAGAACAAAGACATGCAAGTGACTGACACTGCGAATTACATGAGGATTTTCTTAGAAATTAGTACGAAAATTCGCAGGAAACTTGTAGTGTGAAATTTAAAAGTATTCACAAAGTTGTTTTACAAAATAGATGTTGAAGAATCCAAAGGGTAAGTTGGAATACAAGAGCTAAAGTATCTACATCATTTAAACATCCCCTATTTATAGTCTTAAATGGACCATGTTGCAGAAACTTAGCCAGGATTTTAACCAACAATTTACACACACTACAACAAAACACAACTTTTAGCGGCATTAAATACTGACACTAATAAAGAGTGCTAAAGTCTTTACTGGCATTAGCTAAGTGTCATTAGAACCAATGTCGCTAAAAGACTTTAGGGACATATACAAAGAGTGACAATTGACACTAAGAATACATATTCAGCGACAATTAAGAATTAAAATGGTCATTTTTGTTGTATGATCCAAGTTCTTTGAAGTTATGTATTCAACACTTACTGAATCAACTGTCGCACCAGGCTCAACATCTCGATATATTTCACTTAATCACTTCAGCTGAGTACGTCAACGTAGCAGGCTTCCTCACACTGATTTCATAACTTTCTTCTGGTTCCCCTCCTAGTATATGTGATCGACGGAATACTTCATCATACAACTTTTTGCTGACAACAGGCTGAGGTGAAAAACCGCCAACACTACTACTTAAGTTGCTAAAGGAACCTTGGCGCGAAACCGATATAGAAGGAATTTGAATAGAAGGAAGTAACGGAATCTCAGCCCCTTCGGTTAGCCAATCCTTGTAGTAAACTGCAAACAGATAAGTACCTTTGTCTAGATTTTCAGTGTACAATTTGTCAAGAAGTTTCAGTTTCCTCGACTTGTTACGTAGATCACGAAGAAAATTAGCTTCTGAATCATGCCACACCTTCAAATGTGAAAGGTGAGGAAGAAACACGCGATCCCACAAATCAGGCAACAAACTAGTCCTTGCTTGAAAGGGCGAATCGCAGAAAACTTGAAGGAGATGTTTTGCAGCGATACGATCCTTGTTCTGTATCTTATATATGACACTGAGATACAAATGTGCACAAGCTGCCAATTTAGAATTGGGAATTCCAGACGTAAATTTACCATCTGAATTCAACCCTGTGATTACACTAAGCTGCAATGAGGCTTTCTTAAGCTCTTTCTCACTTGCAAAATCCTCTGCAGCTCTTTCTGCTGTTTCTATAGCTTGTTCTAGGGTGGCTATGATCTTGCTTTCAGTATTCAGTCCTTCTTCAAATCCAATAAAATTTAACGACGCAAAGCTATTGTGACGAAGTGATGTCCTAAAATCCTCATCTACGAGAAAACGTTTTATATGCCCGCTCAAGATAGAGATTACAGCCTGAATAGCAAGTTCATCAAGAGCAGGAATAGCTGTGGTGTGCTCAATCTCACCTTTCCTTAGGCTCGTAGTTGCATCGGTACTTTTGCTGGTTACTGAACTTCTAGTTGATCTGCTGTTTGAGGTCTCGCGTCGTTCCATATGTTTCTGATAACCAAGACATTTTTCTGTGTTTTCCTCAGCACTGCTGGTAGAAGACCTACCTTCGCCACTCTCACTTCTGTAAGTTCGATTTGAGTATATACGGTTGTATCTCGAATCATTTCTCTCTTCAACCTCAATTATCTGATTGTTTTGACAACCCTCAGCAGATAAAAACTCATCAAAAGAACTAATGCTTATTCTCTTAACGTTCGATGATATATTGTAAGAGCTCATTCTGTGCTTACTTTTCAAGTCATGGCATCGAATATCAGATGAAGCTCTAGGCATCGTTTTTGATATCCTCTTATTAAATCCTTCCTTCGCGAGGAGGTCCTCCAGTGACATAGCCATCGTTTCTCAGATTAGTATATCAGATCACCTAAACGAAATCCAAGAAAAGAGATTGTTCAATGTCGATTAATATCAACCAATACTTTACATGCTCCCGAAAAAATGAAGAAACAAACACATTAGAACTATTATTATAACTACTTCACAGAGATTCAATGAAGTTGGAGTCAGCAATATGAATCCTCAATATTCATTTTTCTCTCCAAACGCGCACATCCAAAACACATAGATGAAACGGGAACTACCTAGGTGATGCTCTAGCTTCCGATCAAGTATTTCAACAAACAAAGGTAACTAAAGGAGATCGGAACCTTATGTGTGAATAAAAACTTAAGTTTCACAAAACGAGCATTGACAACTTAATATCTGCTCCACCAAAAGAGATCAAAAACAAAGGCAAAACGAAATAAATAAATGAACATTTTAACATTAGAACATTGAAAACATCAACTTTATCATTCTTCCAATGAAGTAAATACTCTAATTATGCAACCTACCAACCAAAAACAAAAACAGATTTACTCAAGAAACAAAAATATGAGCAAACCATGAACAGAGGCAGATCTGTAGTATAACTTGTCGGTTCACGTGAACTCAGCAGTTTTTGCACAAACACTGTATATGTATTAAGAAATTCACTAAATATCGATAAATATTTTACTGTCAAATCGAGTTATTATTATATATTAACTTGAGTTTGTTGTAGGAACCCATGAACTTAAAATCATGATCAGCCTCTGACCATAAACAAGAAAAATAAAAAAAGTACTTTTTTTTCAGCTTGTTTTATCTTCAATCAATAGAAACCATAAAGCCAAATCTTAAAGAAAAGCACATAACACCTCTACAATAACCAATTATTTTCTTTGATCTTCATAGATGAGATTGGGATAGGGAGAACTTTCAAAAAGTTAGTTCTAACCTAATTCCAAGATTCCGAGTTGAATATCTTCAACTACGCAACATACTCTCCAACAACAAAAAGGACATTATCGAGAAACACAATTATCAGTAGAAACTGAAGTACAACTGTGAAAAAAGGAAATACCTTTCAAACAAGAAAACACATAAAACTCACCAAGAACCAATGAATTACTTTGATATTGATAGATGAAAGTCGGATAGAAAAAACTTCTAAAATGTAAAATCATATCTCTACCAATCAAAACCAAAATAATCCTATGTCAATACTCCAACTATGCAATGCAGGCACCCAAGGGTGTGGCCTAGTAGTTTAGTGATCAATGACGTGAGTTGAAACCCATGAGGTATCGCGTTCAATTCTCAAAGCTAGGTGATTTTTTCCAATCTTTCCAAGCTTTCTGTGTATAGTTAATTAGCACCTATGCTAGTTAGAGGTCGCAGATGCCTCCAGTGAAAATCGCGTAAACTAGCCTAAACATCACGATTATCAAAAAAAGAAAAATAACTCCAACTACGCAACATACAATCCAAGAACAAAAAACTGATGATCAAAAAAACACAAATATGATCAAATCTTATAAGTCATTTGGTACGCGAGATAAGATAAGCAAGGATATTCCATGGGATTATATGAGTAGAAATGGAGGAATAAAGTAATCCCACGATTACTAATACCTCAAACCAAACATTACATTAAGTTAATCCCAAATTTTATCGATGTGATTATCCTTATCCCACATACCAAACGACTCTTTGAAGAATAACTGTGAAAAAAAATACATTTCAACATTTTTTTAATCTTCCAACCCACAAGGTGGAATATCCTTTAAAAATGAGGCATATGACTTAGGCCCCAAAATCAAAGGGGCTAAATTTTTTTTATAATAACAAAATTATCTTAAGCTTTTTTTAACAAACAAAAAATAAAGAATGTTTTAATTTGTTTTGAAACATTAAAGAATGTTTCTTTTTTTGGATCAATTTTTAAATTTGACTTCCACATAATATTTTTAAGAATACAAGATTAAAAATATATCGGTATATATATTTATATATATTTTAAGATCATAAAAACATAAAACAAAAAACATCAATATGAGCATAACCTTAAAAGAACAACGGTAAAAGAAAATATCTTTCAGCTTGCTTTATCTTCCATCCCATAAATCAGATAAAAAAGTTACATAAAACCCAGAACATCATTAGACACACAAATATGAGCAACAACATAAAAGAACAATGGTAAAACAAAATAACTTTCAACTTTAGCTCGTTTTATCTTCTATCCCATAAACCAAACAAAAAAGTTACATAAACCTATCAACTTGTTTTATCTTCCACCCCATAAATAAAATAAGAAAAATACATAAAAATCACCAAATACATAATCAAGAAACAAAAATATGATAAAAACCTTAAAAGAATAACTGAGATAAAATAAGTACCTTTCAACTTTTTTAATTTTCCAGATTCCGTAAACCAAACAAGAAAAACACATAAAATCCACCAAGTATATAATCAAAAAACACAATTTGACCAAAACCTTACAACGTAGCTGTGAAAAATGATGTACCTTTTTCTATCAAAAGATTCCATAAATCAAACAAAACACATAAAACTCATAAAGAATCTCTAATTTTCTTTGATACAAATAAAAGGGAATAGAACTTTCCTACATAAAACCAACAAAAACTTTACACTAGGCTGGAGAGAAAGAACTGAATGAAGAGAAGACAAATAGAAGCTAACAAATAAGTCACTTTCATCTACAAGTTACAACAATATTAGCCCTATGAAGATATATTTGTTTATGTGTTTTGGCAGGCCAAAAGCTTAACTTTTTCAACGGCCGGTTGCCTCCATTGCTTTCAAACAATTAAAATTGTTTGGTGTTCGAATAAAGTTTTAATAATTTGGACTACTTTCATTTTTCAATTTTTTGAATTTTTGTGATACTCCTCTTAGTATATTAGTATTTAATTTGAATCACAAGTTTATATATGTTAATCTAGAAAAAAAAAATCGATCATTAAAATAAACATGTATAAATATATGAATTGCGAATTTTCGATTTAGCAATATATAAAAATGTGCAAACTCCAAACTATTAAGTTTCACATATGACTTCGAGCCAATGACATTAGAGCATGAGTCATCCAAACACGTGGAAAAATTGTTATTCGACTTTTACTTGCGCGTGCTTATAAAATTCATTTCTTTTAAGAACGTTTTTTAAATTGTTTGAAAAGTAATGACACGTCTTAATTTACATGTTTAGTTCATTTGTTATGTGAGTGTCCTCTTATCATACTTAGCATGTTAGGATCAAGGAAATCTATTCATCCTTTAGCTTCTTAAAACCTTATAAAACCCATCAAACATAACAATTCAATATGAAAAATAAGTAATAATTTTTTTAAAAATAAACAATTCAACACGAAAAATAAGATATCGAGTTAGACAATCTATACTACAACCATTAAAATTTATTCATCTTTAATTACATATCTCTTATTCGATTCCTCATACTTCTTGATACAAAGTGACTTACCTCTCTTAGTAAATCTATCCGACATGAATCTGGTAATACGTTGTTACATTCAATTTTGTATATAGAAAATGACTTTAGAGAGGAAATACTAGTTGTATATTTATTTATTTGGGCTTTTGTTCAAATTATTGTGATGGGCCAGACTAATATTTGAAGGACCAAGTGCACAAAATAGTCATTATTCGAAAAATGGGTGGTCTTGAATTTTTTATTTTCACTTGTTATACTGAAAATTTTGTCCATAAAATAAACGAGGTTAAAAGTTTGATAAATTATCCACCTTTAAGGTTATTCTTGTAAATGACCCGTTTTGAGGATATATATTTAAAAACAACCAAAATTTACAAAGTCTTTTAAGTTTAGCCGCCTCATAATTAACATTGGATGTATAGGTTTTTATCCGTATTTTATAAAAATAGAGAAGTTATTTTTATAAGACTCAAGTAAAAGCGTATAAAAAATCGGACAGGTAAAGTAAATACAATAGCAAATAAACCATGTTGGACCAGACCAATAAAATAGAAAGAAGAATGACAATAATAAATGATACGATAATTGAGAAGCAACTAAAACAACACATAACAATACAATAGGGAGGTAATAATAGCAATACTTTGTTAAGAATATTAAACAACGTTCAACTATTTGCTAACATCATTCTACCATAATTCTCGATAACCTTATTTTTTTTATCTAGAGTGATATGCTCAGTAAGCTAATGTGTCAAGACTACTTTAATCTATTTCGATCTTTTCTTGTGCTCATGACTCTTCACTAAGACATTTATGCGTCTTCCGAAGTTTACATATCTAAAGTATTTCAATCGTTGTTTTTCTTATCTTATCCATCATAGAGGCTATTCTCATTTTATACTAAATAACTCCGTTCATAATTCTATTTTTCTGCACATGCTACATATTCATCTTAACGTACTTATTTTCACTATTAATATCTTTCGAACATTAAGTTTTTGATTAATCAACACTCTATCTCGTAACGGAATTTATATTTTGAATTTGAACATTATGAGAGTAATTTTGTCCTTAAGTTAGCACTAAATGCTGTATTTGTGGGCCCCACAATATAACATGCAAAAAAAGCACCTCGAAAATAACATAAAACCGACAATTATCCTAGGATCTAACGAGTAAATGACTAAATTACCCCATATTTATCTTATATATATAAATATATATATATAATTCTTTTTTGCAATATCTTAGATAAAAAATTGTTTGGGATATTTTTTTAAAAATTAAGTAATATTTAAATGAATATGTATATATAAGTTTAACTCGTATTTCAATTTTAAATTTTGAATTACTAATATTTCTAGTATATTTTTTATTTTTCGCTCGTAAAATTTATTAATTTTTTTTTCATATCTAAATTTTTACTTCAATTTTCAAATGTTTTCTTTAACGACTTGAATTTTTTTTTTTGAAATCTCAATTATTAATATTTTAAGTTTGATTTATAATTTTGATTTATTTTATATTTCGAGGGGAAAAGGTGGGTGAAATTATGTAGGTAAAGTGAGGGCATAATGGTCTAAAGATTTTATTTACTAATCTACCTATTTGTTATGTAAAAGATAAAATAATAATAATTAATTTATCAAAATTTGTTATGTAAAAGATAAAATAATATTAATTAATTTACCTTTTTGAATTTTGAATAATAGAAGTTTTATTGAGCACCACACTTTTCCACTTTATTACATAAATAGCCTCAACAATTAATTTATTTTTCTATTTATCTTCTTATTGGTCTCTTTAATTATTATTTTTGGGTTATCCTCATTTTCTTTTAATAATAATTAAAGTTTAAATAAATATAATATGAATACAAGATGAAATATTGACACCTTGTAAAGAGCTTAAGTTATATACACTGATATTATAAATAATTTTGTGTTATTAATACAATCAAAAAGATCATTATATGGTAATTTTTATTTGTACTTATAGTATTGCCTTAATAAAATCAATATTAAGAGCCACATCTTATATAATATGTACATTATAAAATAATTTTATAACCATAAAGTACTAAAATTGCCAAATAGAGGCTTTGGAAGTGGGATGGTTTTTTTATTTGCCAAATTTGTTAATTAAGTTTGTATGTAATTATCTTTGAATAGTATTTGATAAAAAAATATATTTTATCTTTAAAGTGAAATTATAAGATGTGTACTTAAATTAGTCGAGTATCAAGTGTAAATATATTAACTGAGTGAGCAATTGTTACTAAGATTATGGTGGTATTATTATCTTTAATCACATGTTTCGTGTTCAAATATTAAAAATTAAATCGTCATCTCAACTCAAAATGCACTTCCAGACATTAATCTGCATTAGTTGACTTTTAAGCAGATAGCGAATACGAGATGATTAACACAATATTAATCATAATTATATTTGTTAGTTATCATCAAATAACTGTTATAGTGATAGATATATAAGTAATCTATCCAGATGATTAGGATAATTTTTTATATATATATGTATCTATAGTGTTGCGTTAACCATGTGATTAAAGTTTGAATAACTGTTATAGTGGTAAATATATAAGCAATTCATCCAAATGACTAGGATATATATATATATATATATATAGTGTTTGTGTTAATCATGTGATTAAAGTTTGAATGAAGATTCTAGTAGTGATTAAGACATTTCAACCAATACAATTAGTAGGAAATAAATGTTAATGAAAAATATAATAATTTGTAAAACACTTTAATTTTGAAGATATATACAATGACTAAGCAAAGATAGAGTATACAACTTACATATATTCATATAAGCAAAAGATATCCTAAACTTTTTGACTTTTAAAAAAAGTGTAAACAATAAAGTATATTTTCTTTTTTCCTTTTTGAATCAAGATTCTAATAAAGTGAATAAAAATAAATAAAGTTGTTCATATTAAGTTTTTTAAATTTTTTAAAAATAGTTCATTTCACCTCTAATTCTTTGTCATTTTGTTTTCTACCAAACTCCTCTATTTAACAAGTGGTTCCTTAAAGCTTAAAATTTAAAATTGTGCATGTGATTATTAATATAGGATGGGAAATTTAAATAGTAGCAATAATTTTAACTTGAAATTTAAAGCTTTTGTTAAATTTTTGACCTAGATTTGAAAATATATGATACAGAGTGATAACAAATATTTTAAAATTATAAGTAATGAATTTATAACAAATATTTATAAAAATAACGGAAATTTAATTAATAAGAATTTGAGTACCTTTGCTCACTCTGAGAAATCAATAAATTTTTATATATAAAAAGAAATTTAAGTGGCCATAGAGATAAAAAAGAATAATTATATCAATAACACGTACATTAAAAAGAGAAAGTCTCACCTAATAATTTGTAAGATGAATAAACATAATTAAATAAACTTTACTATGATAAGAAGACAATATATATAGTAATAGTAGGATTATTTGTGATGAAAAGACGATTATTCAAAATAAATTATTAATTTTAAGGATAAAATTCATGGACAGAGTGAAAAAAAAAAGACAACGGGTAAATAACATAAATTAAATATTAAAACTTTTTAATTATTTTTAAATTTAATATTTGACATGAATTTTGTTTTTTAATAAATAAGCACTTATTTTTTAAAAAATAATTTCAAATATTTTGAATCCTTATTTCACCCTTTTTCACCTTTTGGGTAAATAATTCAAAGATAATGGCATATTAGTAATATAACCCAAAAATATGGGCCTTTCCATAAACATACCTCGATATTTGAAAGGGGGCCCCACATGTCCCTCCTTTTTCATAGTTAAATTCCAAATTTTGATTTGCCACCCCACCCCCCTAACCCCCCCACCCCCAACCCCACCCCCACCAAATTCACTTTCATCACCATTTTTGCTTTCTTTCTTGCTAAGTAGCTTAAAGTTGCAGCCTCCCCAAAAACTCCCTTCTCTCACTACTAGGGTTTATTTTGCTGGTTGCTCTTCCACTTTTCACCTTTTGCTTTAACACCATTCTTGAACTAACAATTAATGGTAAAATGCAGCTCTTTTGCTTGTTTAACTTTGCTAAAATCCCCTTTTTGTTGTTTGTTTGTTTGCTGAATGTAGATGCACATCTTGCTTTTTCTATGGATTGTTTTCTTTTTTTCATATCATTCTTGAATCTTTGTGCAATTTTTTTCGCCTTTTTGGTTATGTGGGTGTGTTTGGTTTTTGTACATTTCAGTTGGTTTTATGCTATGTGCTGGTAAAAATGTAATCTTTTTTATGTATTTGAAATCTTGATCATCATATCAGTGGTAAATGCAGCTCTTTTGCTTGTTTAACTTTGCTTAAATCCCTTTTTTTGTTTGTTTCTTTGCTGAATGTAGATGCACATCTT